TGGAGAGATGTGAAGCAGAGGAAGAATGAACTTGCGAACTTAGTGTTCAGCGCAAGACATAAAAGAATCAGCATTTGGGTAACCACAGCAGATGACAAGCATTGCAAAACCATTCAAAGAGAACACCGCTGCATTAGTTCTATTTTACACACAACATTGAGAAGTTCTTCAAGAGATACAAGACCTCGTTCTCCACAAAGACTTATGAAGCTATTGTGGACACATTTCTTCAGCTCTCATGTAAATCATTGTCAAGTCTCCTTCCTCTTGATGAAGGACAACTTCTGAAAGATTTGAATAACTTCATAGTAAAGAGAGGACTTGGAAGAACTGCCGATGGATTGAGTCTGAAGTATGGAGAGTACATGGCGATCGCAAGTGCTGTTCTTCTCACTGCAAAGAATGTTAATTTTGACCAGGAATCAGACACCAGTCTTTGTAAAGAAGCTTACCTTATGTAAGTAGTTATGTAACTACTTGACTAAGTACTTGAAAATTATTTACTAAAATGAAAGAGATCGATTAGCGCTAACCCAGGGTTAGATTTTCATTCAAATTTTTTTATTCCTATTTTCTAACTCCCTTTTTGAGATAACTTTCTCTACTTTTTTTTCGGAGCATACAATCATCAAAGTGTAAACAAAAAAGAGTTACAGTGAGTTTTCTTTTGAAGCTTTCATATTTAAAATCAGATTTTAGACTAACCTTAGGTTATCTTAACCCAGCTTTGAACAACCTGGCCTTGGTTGGTTAAGGTTTTAACAACGTTTGGGCCAAGGAAGATAACAACCAATCACATCGTGCGAGTTAAAGATATATTTGGTTGAAGTGCAATTTTGAAGCAATTTTGGGTTTTTAACCCTGAGATATAATCCGAGAGCTCTTTTAACTCACGAATTAATCACGAGGCCAAACTACTCTGGATTTTTAAAACCTTTTTGAACCTAACAACATGCCTGGTCCTCTTGTGGATACTCTCAAATGGTCTAACTGGATAAAACGGTGTAATCAGTTAAAATGATCTAATTGGTTAAAATAATCCAACTAGTTAAAATAATCCAATGGTTCAGGCTATAATTAGATAAGATGGTCCCACCAATTTTGTAATCTAACTAGGTAAAATGGTCCAACTGATGAGAATCATCTAAGTAGGTAAAATGTTTTGCTTGGTAGAAATGGTCTAACAAGAAAAAATGGGCAACCGGTAAAGACAGAATAAAATGGTCCTTCTTGAAGTGGTGTAGCTGGAGGAAATGATCTTACCAGAGAAAATGGTTCAAATTGTTATAGTGGTCTAATCGTTCAAAATGGTCCAACTTCGCTGAATCAAATTGGTCCAACAGCTTAAAATGGTCTAACTAGATAAAATGGCCCTCTCGCTTAAAATGGTTTAACTAGATAAAATGTTCCAATTGGTTAAATTGGTCTGATTGGTTTAAATTGTCCAAACAGATGAAATAGGCTAACTAGATCCAACTGAATGGTTCAAATAATTTAAATAGTCCAACCAGTTAAAAGAATTTAACTGGCGATCATGATTCAACCAGCGAAGTAAGTCCCACCAGTAAAAATGGTCTAATTAGAGAAAATGGTCCAACTGGCTAAAATGATCCAACTAGTAAATGGTCAAACCAGTTATCATGCTCCAACTAGTTAAAATTGTCTAAGATGAGACAATGGTCCTAATGATTGGAACGATTTCACCCTTTAACATTGTCAAACTAGTTAGAATGGTCAAACTGCTGAAATATGGTTCAACAGGTTTAAATTATCCGAACAGATAAAATAGTCCAACTGGTTCAACCGGACCTAACTGGTGTAAATAGATAAAATGGTCCAAATACTTGTTCATCATTAAAAGAGAACATTCCAGGACTAAATAGCTAGACTGATATTTCTCCCATGAGCTTGCACAAGAAAAGCAGTGCTACCAGTAGAGTGAAGAGGAAAACAATTTCCCTTTTTTTATCAGTTTGTTTTCATTGTTTGAAACTTGCGAGGTGGAATTAGACACAAAAGAGGCTGGAATGCATTGCACATCTATTTGCTTTGTAATAGCAGTTGATTATACAAGGACAATAGGATTACTTTTCTTTCAAGTTGCCAAGCATTGCAGCTCTCTTGGCCTTGACTCTATCCTTCACTTTGAAATAATAACCCCCAAATTTCTGTGCCTTTACTGACTTGTACTGTGAAACTTGGAAAACCAATCACACTGGAACATTTAGGGAATTGGTGGAATGTTACCGTGTTACAAAGGAAATTCAAATCAGGTGTCAGAAAGCTTAATTGCAAACAGCAGTGGTAATTAGTTTGTGGTTTTAACTCCTTGAAGTCTTTGATTAATCAGTTTTTCACGCTTTTTCTGAATCTCACAGGAATGTCTCTTCTCAATCACTTCCTGTTTTCATTAAGGAAGTAACAAAAATCTTCTTTAATGATTTAAATACTCTTACAAACTGTTTAGGACTTCCACTGAGGGTCGTTCTCTAAGGTCATCTGTTGTGTGTGCATAATGACACTTCTCTGCTGTCACTGGACAACCATCAGGATGATGTAAGTAAAACCAGCACAATGAAGTTTTCCTTAATGCCTGAGATCTTCGCTGCTTCTTTCCAAAATTAGCCTTCTTTGCACCATGGCATGAGGATTCCTGACTCCAATCCCTCAGTTCAACTAAACCACCAGTAACTAAATAAGACAATTTTGAGTTACCGCTATGTCAAGATTTTATACAAAGCTTCTACTGTGAAATCATAATTTCTTGACTAACAAAGATGAGAGAGACCCTTTAAATTTTGGAGTTACAACTAAATTCTATGCGGACAGAACAAAAAAAGGGAAAACACAGCAACAACAATTATTGCAGTACCAGCAACTACTAATATAAGACAATTACTACAATTACTAGTACCCCTACTACAAGTACTACGGTAACCACAACTAACTAGTGCAAACCTTTGAAAATATGATAGTGATTCCGTAACAAGGTCTGAAGACCTCCACATTCATGCTTAAGTTGAACCAAAGTGTCTTTATCAAACAACTGAGCTGCTTCCCAAATTTGCATAGTACCTGACAGAAGAATGGAAGTCAATTGCTGAGTACAAGAACCTTGTAGTTAACAAACCTTGAGATAACCTGCAAGATACCAGAACAATCTAATAGTAGATAATAATAAGTCCAACCTGTATTTAACGGTACCAACAGGGAATGGCAGGGTGAATGCTTTACACAGGTCGACCCCTTAGTACATATGTGCTATTGATCAAGCATGAGTTCAAGAAGCCTGGATATTTACAGAGTTTGTTTACTCCCTTTTAATGGACCTTGACTTCACCTTGGTCCTTAAAAAAACAAAAAAAGACAACGCTAATATCTAGCCATCAAATAGACTTGGTCCATAAAGGATTTATTGTAAAGCAGAGAGGTTTTGCCCTGTTCAGCGTCAAGAATGACTGTTTCTTTGGAGAGCTGGGAAAGAGCACAATATAGCAAGGAGAGTTGTTCGTGTTTCTTTTGTTTTGGCTGTCTTCTGCCCATTTTGGCCACTCCTTTGCCCACATACTTGAAAAAAAATATGGATCTTGTCCATCCAAAATGTAATTTTTTCCTGTGCTGGATAAAAGTATGCAATCTTGAGCAGGCAAGATGGGTCCTTTTTGCTTCAGTAGCCAATTAGAACATGGGATTTGCTTCATATACTGACATCAAAATGGTGGCATGGAGTAATCACTTAAGAATAACTTGGAACTACTGTAAATGGTATACTATTGTCTAACAGTTGGACCTCTTGGACATTAACTAGCAAAAGATCTGTCTTGTTTTTGACTAACATTTGTCTAAAGAGCCCTAAGAACAAACATAATTTGAAATTAGTGTTTTTTCTTTATAGTGTCTGAAGTTTACTCCATCAAATGCATTGAATTCACCTCCAACTGCAGAATTCAAGGTTGTAAAAACAGAATTCATTACATTTCAAAGTTACACCCATTTTAAAAAAACGTTGAAATTTTAAAATATGATATGATTTGATGAGGAAAGGTAATTAGATATATATTTTTTTTCAATTGAAATCTTTTTAAAATGGTGTATGATTGTATATCTACACCCATTTCCAAAAATGTTGCAATTTAAAAATATTTAATATAACGTCTTTTCTCATTGAAAAGGTGTTGATAATAAATTGAAGAGGAATTTTTTTAAAAGCAGAGTATAGTTGCTTTTAAAATTTTGAGAGTTTCACCTTTGCACAATTGTTAGCTTCAAGTGCCCATTTGTTCAGATATATATCAATCAAGTTATCAAATTAATGAGGGTGAAAAATAAAAAAGGGGAGGACCATTTAACTGTGGTCAAGAAGACCAGTTTTCGAGGACTGCATAGATCATGAACCAATGGCCTCTCATAATTTCTTGTTTCAAACAACTTTACAATGAACAACATAGTGAACAATACAGTAAACTCGGAAATTCCAGAAAGGCTTTGTTGCATATTTCAAAAACACTAGTTACAAAACAACACTTTAAGAAAAGTGACATTTGGTAGTAAACTCTTCCGGATGTATGCATCAAACATTTGACTCTAAGTCGTACCATTGTACCCCAGGAATGGACAAATTGTGTGGTTATTTTAGCCATTTGTTAGTGAGATGGTATATATACCATCGGACCTGCTTTTTCATGGTTCTGTCTGACTTTCATGGCTATAAATAAGCAGTCATAAAGTGCTGAATATAACTAACATTTCAGATATATAGATACATATATTTTTTTTCAATTCTCATGATTGACTGGAGATTTAAGGTATTTTGAGCCTAAACAAGACAGCATACTCTGCTGTTATTGTTCACATTCCAAAAATATGTCCATTGCCTTGATCAAATCACAAAGCACTGCTTTATTGTTTAGCTCTGTTCTTGTTTTGTGACTGCAAATATGGACATCAAGTACCATTCCACAGTTTAAATACTTTTTAATGTAACCATGAGGTTGCAGCTTTGAGTTTGCAGTGTCATTGATCTGTTTGGATGAATTTAAAATGTGTTTGCTGTGGTTGTCGATGATCTGTTTAGGGTTACTCCTGCAGCTGTAACTGATCTTGACTGTGTTACGATTAAAGATTTTCTAAGTTTGTAGTCTTTTGGAAAGCGCTTGCTCTAATAGACAAGAAAAATCTTTCATCTTTAATCTACCAAGCCACCATCACACGTAAGGACAACAGCACCTCTGAAACACACATTGGACTTACAGAAAAGGACTTTGAGACTAGATACAGAAACCATGGCTTCAAAGAAGAGCATTGAGGCACGAGTCCCAAGAACTTCACATTACAACATAACTTGCCTTTTTTTAAGCCCTTCAAATGAGACAAAAATCTGTGATTTGCACCCTCAACAAGATGACAACAATCATTTGGAGAGTGTGTGGACTACTGCTCACATTTCAATGTTACACAGAAAGAACTTCGCAAAATTATTTGCTAGTATTGATATGATTAGCTAATGAGTATTCCTTACCTCCTTTTCGCCATTTACCACCTTTTTCAACCTCTGAAATTGAGCTTGAAGGGCTCAAAAAGTCATCACTTGAAAGAGGTAAACCCAACAAATACCTTGCTACACCATTGACAAAATGTTCTTTGAGAGATCTTTCTAAAGTTGTACAGTTTCGTATTGCCTCCTTCTGAGCACGAGGCTGAAAACTGGAAGGTGCTTGTTTAGAAAAGGTTGAGTAAGACTTGGTGGCAAAAGTTTGAATGCTGGTGTTTCCTCTCCCTCTACACAGCAAGGCATCAGTAGCATGATGCTCATGGTGCTGTCGTTGGATGTCAACAGCCCCTCTACCTTCATGTTGATTAGGTGTTATGTGATTTTGGGAGGGAATTTTCCTTAAAGTTTCAGGGGGCTGTTCATCATCAAGATTGCAACCTCTCTCTTGTATCATATCCTTAATTGATATGATTTGTAGGTCATCATTGTTCTCAGTGAATGTTCTTGGTCGTCCAATATGACAGATCTAATTGTAAAACAAGGTAAAGACAGGAAATAAAAATTTTGTTACCTTAAACATATTTAACTTCATTGTTTGTATCTGTGATTTGTAAGTAATGGTACAAGGTACCAGTTCTACTATTGTAAATAGAAAGAATTTTATTTTGATATTTGAGAGTATTTAAGTAAAAGGACTCCTTCCCTGTTTTGTGTGCTTCAGTAAATGCTTTCCTGCACATTTCCTCATTTATCCGATCATTTCTTTAGTTCATATTTTAGCATCATTTAACATTAAAGGCGTGCTTTTCAAGATGGGATGCTTCAATTCTTTTTTTCATTTTACTTAAATTACCTTTATTTTTGGAAATTAGTAATATTCACATTTATCACCATTTACTCAGTTTTATTGAAATTCTACTTTATAAATAGTACATATAAAGTTTATCTCATAATATCACATTGCATTGAATACAGCCACAGTCCTAATAGGAGTTTGAAACAGCTAATGCTTTGGAGCAAACAGCAGGGCCAAACATTGGTGGTCGTATGGCTGCCAGTGGCAAGTTAAAACTGACCAGGGCCACCAAAAGTTAAGGTTTGAATGCCTGATGTGCGACTAGGCTGCAGAATTTGGGAAAGTTGCAATGTAAATTATGTGAAGTACAAAGTTAAAAATAAAACTCAATATGTAGTTTAATTGGACTACCCTTCTCTTCGTTTCTTTGCTTGGACTCTAAGATCATCCATTATAGTAAATTTTTAGTTCTGAAGGGGAAATTCTGAGTCGTTTTAACAGTGATTTCACGAGCGATCCACATTCACAACGTATAGACGCCATTTTGAGTTTGTGATTGCCACGTGACTCTGGACTTAGCCAGAGTTCTGTGTGTAATGTGTTCTTTCCTTTTAGTTAATGCTCTGTTAAAAGCCATGGGGCATCTAATCAAGTTTTTCATTTTAAAATAGAGGAAATCGAGGGCTTCTCCATTTTGGGATGGGCCACTAAGAATTCAAGGAAACTCGCCCGGCTGGCCACCAAGCACTGGAGTTAATTTTTAGCCCTGAAAAAGGATAATGTAGGAGTCTTTAGCCTTAAATTTTCAAGGTTTTTCTGCCGCAATTTTCCATTGGACTCTGGTTTACAATTTAAGCCTATGCCATGGTATGTCTTGGAATTACAATTTGAAAGAAATGAAAGAAGTTTTAGCTGGTACTTGGATAAATTCCCTAGGAAAGAAAAATATTGAACAATCATCTCAAGAGATCTTTTTGGATCAAGAGGCTTTGTGGGAACCATAATCAGAAGAAAGAAGGCTTTCTATCCACCAGTTTCTTTGTTTGAAAAGGAATGGTGTCACCCCCATCCTCATTGCTGTGTATGGCCTTGAGGTCATTTAATAAGAGGGCAAAGTGAGCAAATAGCTTAAAATCATAAGGTGGGCAGAAAGTTAACCTATGCATAACAAATGCAAATCAAACCTTAAACATAGATGAAAGAATTCATGAGAAGCACAAACAAACCCAACATGAAGAGTAGCAATGAGCTGAAGGGTTGATGGTTCCCAAACTGATCAATGGTCCAACAAAATAAATGACACTGTTGGGTACGCTGAAACACTGTGCCTCACCAGATTTGACTTTTTGTGATCCATCAAATATTTTTGCTTGTGCACAATTGGTCCAAACACAGCATGAAAATGAATATCCCCTAGCTTTAACTGGGCAATATCCAAGCAGTATTGCCCAATTTTCAAACCTTTATGTCCTCTAAGCCTTCATTTGAAATTTAATTCAAGATGAGAGAGGGTTTTTTGGTTGTTACTGAAGAAGGAAAATCTTCTTTGTTCATTAAGTCGTACCAGAAAACACTCAAAAGAAAACATTCCATGCTGCATACAGTAGGCTGTTTGTAAACATTTTATGTACATTGCAAAATACTTGAAAGCAAATAAACTTAATAGCCTCTATTTTGCTTGAAAATATGACCAGATATTTATTATCTGTTCCTCAAGGCTCACAGTTTTCCTCGAGCTTCACTCTCGGGAAACTGTGTGCATCTTGAAACAGATAATGTTTGTGGAAGAATATCCCTACAAATTTTTGGTGCCAAATAGAGGCTATTGCTGATACAGCTTGAAAGTAATAGCCTGAAATTTAAGAGTATATGTTTCTCCATCTTGATGTAGGAGTAAGACAAAATGGGTTAAAAGAGCTGTTGATTTCCTCAAAACATTAGTAATGAACACTCTCAGCTTGGTACAAACATACCCAACTCAATTGAGATCATGGCTTTGTTGGATTAATTCTTAGGGGTGATATGTTAAGTACAGAGTTGGGACTAGGTTCCACTTAGTCAGGATCATATGATCCTCTCTTGGTCGATTGTATCTTAAACCACTCATTGTTGTACATCAACACATTTGTTTTGATAGAAAGTTCCCATATTTCTCCCTCTTTTGTATCTAATTTTTGATTTTATTGATTCTCCCTGTCTCTTCCATGTTCTCTGTTTTACCTGCTCACAAAGCCAAGTGGCTTTATTTTTTGCCATTCTGCAATATTTTTTGTCATTTTTATTTTCAATTTGTTATAAGTGTGGTTGGGAGTTATATATTTTGTAATTAAGCAGAAGGAAATGCACTCTTTCAGTCCAATAAAAAAACAAGTGAAAAGTTAAGTATGAAGTAAAGGCAGATGCATGCCATAAATTTGGACTTCTTGGAGAAACAAAATAATGATTGGTTATAACAAAACTAATGTTGAATCAGTTAAAGAAATTGAAACTAAAGAATGTTACTTACTGAGTGGTAGGATCATTGAACTGGGTTTAAAAAGCTTCATTTCAATCAAGGGACTTAAAAATTTTTCAGAGTTACTTTTGGTTCCCATTTGAGATGCCATAAATTTACTTCAGGTAAATTTAAATACATTCAAAATCCTAAAGGTTACTACAGCTCCTATGAGCTCAATTCATGACGTTGAAACATCATTTTCAAGTACTTCAGACTTAATAACCCTTGCGTTAAAATAGAAATAATCTCAGCTTCAGCATACCTTCTTTCTTCTTGAGCCCAAAAAGGATATTTTTATCATAACAGTACTTAGAAGGCACCACTTAGCTATTTACTTACCTAAGTATGTAGAATTGTGAAAGTAACACAATCCTCCCTAGCCTTGAGGTGAAAAAATTGAGCTTTTTGTGATTCTCGCAGACATGTCACCTTCACATAAATCACTTATCAAATACCTTAATGCTAATTCATCAAGAGCAAGGCATGATGCATTATATGTCACAAAAAACAAAGAATCTCAACCATGTTGCTACCCCCTGAGATTTGGTACAAAACGGTTTAGGTGCATGTTTTGACTTATTCCTCAGCAGCTTAGAAGCTGATCTGCCTAATCACACCCTTAAAGGATAATTTCAACATATAATTATGTAACTTAAATTATTACCCTTTTGGTAGAAGGAATCCTCAATGAATCTTCTTCTACCTGAAAGCCACATGTTTCTCCCACATTGTACACAAAATCCAGGTAATCTCGATACTGCGTCACTTTGCTATTTTTCCTGTTAAACTGGTAAAAATAAACCGATAAGAAAGTTTATACTTGTAGCTGGCACAGTAGAAAAAAATGAGTGACAGGCGTGAACTATATTGGTAAAAAGTGACAAATGTCCTGCCCTTGCCTTAAAAATTACAATTTTACGCATGCAAATTTGCAATTCTGTTCAAAGGAAGACTTATGATTGAGTATCACGATAAAACTCCCTGATAAAGATGGTAGAAAAAAACAGAGGTAATCCGAATTAGAAAGGGAGGCTTTACCAAAACATTTTTATTTGTGTAATGATAAGGGTGATTTAAAAGGCTTCCAAGCAAATTTCAAAACATTTTGTTTGTAGGTATCTCACATGATCTGACACCTGTCAATTAGAAAGCATGTAAGAAAAAAAAAAAAAAAAAAAGAAGCCCCTGTACACTTTTGCAAAAGTAGCAATACTGGTTTGAAAGGTTAAATCGAGTTTAATGACTATCATGACAGAATGAAGCACAAACAATCTTAGTAACCACATAATTGCATAACTTAAGTCGGTACAGGATGTATAATTACTCACCTTACAGTTAAAGTCAAACAAGCAACATGGTAGAAGGAAATATCGAGCCATGGTTGATGACCTATCAAGTGACAAAGAAATATTTTATTTTACAAAATACCAAAATATTAAGATCGGATAGGGCCTGATGTCTGATGAACATGTGAAATAGTATTAAGTATGGCTTTGATGTGTCAAATGATGGTCTGTGTCTCTGGTCCTCAAGGTCGAAAGGTGGGATGGCACTAGTATTGGGTATAACTAAGATTATTAACGTCATGGACTGTGAGTGTGATGACAGTGTTGACAAGACACACAACAAAAACATTCACTGGTTGGTTTATGCTTGGTGTGGGTATATCAAGGTATGAACCCACACTGAAAATTTGGAAAGCATGAGAGAAGCATAAGAGTTCCAGAAAGCAGCCTAAGATAAGTCTTACTTCTTTAACACAGAAAAAAGCATGAACCAGCTTGTGTACAAAAAATACTGCTTTTTCAATTTTGTGGTATGCAAAACACAAGATACAAAAATACAAAATAATATTCAAGCTGAAATCATTTAAAGCTCTAAAAGTCTATGTAAATCAGGACAGAATGGTAAAACCATCTTAAAAGTTTTATAAGTTGCAGCTGCACTGGACTGGAACTTGGCAAAATGCCCACATCATGCTATATACACTCTGCTGTGCATAGATGGAGATTTATACCATGATGGCTCAATAGGATTCCAATAAAAAAAGTGCGCATACTTTTTTATTGCTATACTGTCACCTGTAGGAGTTGAAGCCACATTTTTCATTGAGGCAAGTGAGTGAGTGAGTGAGTAAGTAAGTTTAACCCTGTCTGGACCCAATGCTACTTAGTGTTTGTTTCAAAGTAATCTTTGATCTTCAGCATTCACACTTGATACACAGTTGAGTTCTCCCTTTTGGTTGTTTCTGGTTTACAGCCACTAGCCCATTATGTTTCCAGTTCATGCTGTGACACTACTGAAGGCAGCACAAGACGATAAACATCTTACAATCAGTTTCTTAACAGAAATATCTAAACCCTTTAGCTCCCAGATCAAATTTGTAATTATCCTTACTGTCAACCATACAATACTTATAATGTTAGCTCTGGGAATTTAGTATTGGATCAACTAATTAACCCCAAATTGAGATTTTTTCTTTATTCTCATCACTTATATTGTTGATATTGTATTGATGTTGTATGGAGAAATTCTGTCTTTGTCATGCACTCATGGGAGTTAAAGGGTTAATTGGTGTGATGGGCTCATCATAAAGCCTGAGGGAAAAATTCTTTTTCTTTAATGAGAGCATTTTACAAGGACAATCTTTTCAGTTCTTGCCCTGGTACAACAAAAGATGATAAGCATTTCAAAATAATTTTCCATGCAGAAATATCTCAATAGATATGTTGTGGGATGACAAACAAAAATTACCTGAAATGCTGAATGCCTTTTAGTATTAAACGAAAGTCTTAAAAATGGAATTGCACTGAAGTAAGAAAATTATTTATAATTAACAGGCGGAATTTAAAGAAGCAAAGGTAATCATTGTTGGAGTCCAGACGATAGGGGAACCACACGGCTTCTGGGTTAGCCCCTTCACCTTATTATTATGTTACTATTGCATTGACAATGAAGAAACAAATGATAATACTTAGAACTATTTGTCAAAGCCTCAAAAGTGAAATGTACTGAACATCAAATCCTTTCTGATCATCACAAGATAAACCCACCTAGCAGCCATTACAGGTATCCAGGGAGTGAGTTCATCAGAATGATTGCCAATGAGCCAGTCGACATCTGGAAACAGACCAGGTAAAGTAGGATTCACTGCCTTTTCCTGTAAATGGAACATTGCTGGTCAGAGGCTAAGATTACAGATTGGATTACATCCAATCCAGAAATTTCATTAATCAAAAAAATATGATAATATTAATTAAAAAGACTATGGGCTAGTTATTTAAGCAGAGGTCAGCCCTTGTTTAAGAAAACCACGTCCTAAACTATCCTTAATTTAGCTGAACCTTCTGAACAGTGTCAAGAGGGCCAAAAGCTATCAGTGGAGGGACATTTATTTAATCAAAGCAACCCTCCTAGAGAGAAAACCTGAGGCCCAATCATTACATAAGACAATAATTTGGGTTCCACCTTTTGTAAACAACTGGCCCTGAGGATATAAAAGCCGTACTAAGTGCGACACAAAGGCTGCTGATTAGTACATATCATAAAGGCCCCAGTTATTCAAAAGGTTAATAACCTGATCCACTTGATGAATCTCTATTCGGTGGACAGCACAATACATTTAGTTAATACTTATTTGCTAGAAAGCAATCTATCCATTGGATAGCATTGTCCATCCTTCAAACAACTGAGCCAAAGTGACTAGTGCTTTTTCC